AAGCTGTCAATCCTCTTGTTCTCACAACAAGAGCCAGATTTGGTGTGAAATGGATAGAGGAACACACACAGGAACACATCATAGAAACAGAAATTGAGTTTGTTGAGTTGTTCATTCAGCTAAAGTTAGATGTAAAAACACACCTTGTTGCTGAGGACCAAACCAACTCTATCGCACCACTGAAGGAAGTCTTTCAAACGCTCTGAACTGTCGTCCACCTGTCAGAAGAAAAAGCAACACAAACCTTCATATCAGGAGTATTTGGAGCACATAACTCCACCCGGACGGCCCCCCCAGCGTCCACAGCCGCAAACATCTAAACAGGCGTTCAGAAACATCCCTTGAGCTAAAAATTACCTTCTGACGTTTGGCTTCTGTTGCCATCCTTTAAGTGTTCAAGTAGCCGCTAAGCTAACACGCGGACCAAAGAGGGGAGAAAGTTTGGCCCAAACAGGGACCCGTAGGCAGCTGCTTCCACCCGCACATGAGGACGTCTGTAAGGAGAGAAAAAAACACTGATTTATGTTATAGACAATGTGTTTTTAGTCAGAATTCCCAGCAAATTGAATGTTCAATTTATTGTTGTTATTATGTCAACGTTAGATATCGTATATTTATTGGTAATACATTGGACAGTTTTCTTGAACAGCTGCTTCATTCTGTTGAATTAAAACAAAAGTACAACCCGTATTAAGACAGGATTTCATAGTGTTTTTTAACTTTATTTCCCGTGTGATGTTCCTATATCCACATCCCGCTCAGCTGATCGTGTGGCTCGTTGGTCTAGGGGTATGATTCTCGCTTTGGGTGCGAGAGGTCCCGGGTTCAAATCCCGGACGAGCCCAAGCTTTTGCTGATTTACTCACGACATATGACACATAATTAGATTATTTTTATTTACAGTGTAAAACATGAATAAGGAGTACGCTCATAAACGTCTTTCAGTCTTTCCAGGTGAGCACACAAGTTTACCGGTCTTGGGAGGTAGGACATTCAACTTCTTTCTTCTATAATAAACTTACAGTATATTTGTTTCTTTATTCATATGTTTATCTATGTTTTTGAGTGACTGATGACAGAGCTGGAATAAGGCTATTTGTGTTTGGGAGCTTCAGCCTCTGCAAAGATTCTCGCACACATGAGAGATTTCTGTAGAAAACCTGAGCTTTGTAAAGGTCAAAGATCACAGGGGTTCCTCTGAAAGGCCAGTCAAGAAAAATGCTACTATCCATTATTTATTTACTCCATAATGCTTGTTTTGTGGAGTTATTGGCCCTCAATATTTCAAACAGTAATCATAACATTGTATATATGGGCTATTTTCTTCCTTACCGTTTTATTTCTTACCTAAAAATAGTCCAGGTTTATATCTTTCATGACTTTTATTAACCAAACTCTTCAGTTATTTTCCTATTTTCTTCAGACTATGTAGTTCAGACTTTTAGAGCCATCTGTAAGTATTTCAGTGACCCCTTCGTGGTGCGTTCGTGGGCTCCCTGGTGCGCGTTGAAACCATAGCTGTGGCCACCAGAGGTCGCTGCTGAGCTTTGAGGGCTGAGCCGCCACATCAGCACAGCTGAACCCCAGACTGTCTCCGACAGTTTTCCAGGTGTTGCTTTGAACATCTGGCTCGTTGGTCTAGGGGTATGATTCTCGCTTAGGGTGCGAGAGGTCCCGGGTTCAAATCCCGGACGAGCCCTGCTTTTTATGCATTTCCCCTGGAAACAGAAGTAGCTGACCATACTTATATAATACTTGTACTTTTACATACTTGTATAACATTATATAATTAACACTTCTGGGTTATCAACTCCTTCATAACAAGCTTAGATGAATTATGACTGCTCTAAAAAACTAGAAAAAAAGAAACGGTCAAAGTCCATAGAAACTGGACAACTACTGCCTAAAACCACTTAAAGGATTACAATAAGAAAATCTGTTATTCTGGAAGGAAAACATAAAGAAATTACCAGTGGATCAGGAACTTTTGTGCAGGCCATGATTATACTTACTGTAATTAGGCAGACGTGGGAGGAAATCATGTCAAAGAATCTTTGATGGAGGCACTGAGTCGTGCACCGGTGTGATTAACATGTAGTGGGAAGAGCTTTGAGTGGTCAGGTCGACTGAAAGGTGCTTTAAAGGTTCAGTCCATCAGTCAAAGATAAGGGAAGGTTAAAAATCAGGTTAAATTCTGTAAGTGTTGCACAAAATTGCAGCTGAAGTAAGCAGTTTAAATGAAGAGTGGATGAAGGTTTTTAGAGAGAATGTGGAGTTGGTTTAAAAACAAGGTCACATTCAGGGCCTCAAGCCTGGTATGAAACAATGTATTTATCTATGTATTTGTTATTAATACAAACTATTTATGAGGTTTTATTTTCTGCAAATGCTAATTTGAGTCCATGACTTTGCCCATTCAGAGCTCTGTGCTTTGCCAAGCCTGGGTTAGCCCTAATTCTTCTCCCTAATTCTTCTGGAGCTTAAACTCAAACACTGTGACAGGTTTGATCGTCAGATTACGCGTTGACAAGCTCCTTTTCTTTTGTGGAAATCCTAATAAGCTGAATGGTGCTGAGTACAGCTCTTTCAGAGGTTCGTATTTCATAAGAGGATCATCAGAAACCGTAAACAGAACATTTTGCTTTGAGTGCTGGAAATTGAAGAAAGAACGGAAACTCGCATTTCACACAGCAGGAATTCTGAACATGTGTTTATCCACAAAAAATACAGACAGCGATTCACACGGGAGCAGGAGCATTGGGACAGATCTGCAAAAATGGAGAGGCCTCAGAGGGCTTTTTTGCCACAGGTGACGGCGGTGCCGAACAGTTTGTCCCAGTGGCTGAAGAACGG